AATAATAATAATAATAATAATAATAATAATAATAATGATGATAATAATAATAATAATAATTTATGATGAAGCACAGGTAAATCAATGATCAATGAAATATAACATTAAACCTAATTATCCTTCAAAAAGTTTGTAATTTTTCATTTGAAAGAATGAATAAACAAATTCAAAAGAAACACACACATGCAAAAACTGTAAACTTACCTCAATCCTGATACCAGGGTCAGTAGCTTCCTGGGTTTGACACAAAAATACAACATGATAAATCACATAGTGCAGTCTATACATAACAAACAGTAAAATAACAATTGCAATCTTGATATCTGTCTAACAAACGGTAAAGGTGGCAAACCATGCATAAGTAAGTGTATTGTATATCAGATGGTCTTCTTGGACTAGGATGGTGTAAATGAAAACCACCCACCGTCACGCTAGTTAATACCAATTAGGGTATGTTTTGTATTTTTGTAAAATCACGATTTCGCTGTCGCTTTGACACTCATGTGATAAAAACGTTATCACCTAATTTCCTTTATACGTAGAGCTGGTACCATTGGCTGTATCAACAGAAATAATACTATATTACTAGCCCATGACTTCAACGAGCAAATCAGGTGATAACCTCATATTATAATCATAATCATAATCAAATCAAAAGTAATGAGTTCATTCGTACCTGATGTTCTGGCGTGTTGCATATAAATGCTAAGTCGTGTACCAATTGCATGGCATCAGATACACCTGCACGTAGAAGCATATCGCCAACATTCGACAATAAATAGTAGTCGAGAACTCTACTTGGATTAGCAACTAAAACACAGATGATACAACATAATAAGTGTAAGATAGAAGCATTACATAATGGGCACATATGTGAATCCAATCTACGGACATATTGACAACATTTGTAACTAGAATTAACAACAAAAACGTATATATTACTGAACACACGTTCAATTGTATCAAGACAATATCCAATAATGGCGCATAAAACAGTAATGACAGACCGTCAAACCCATATGTCATAACAAAAAGAAAGAATATGCACTATATATAATAGATCTAAAGCTTTACAGTCGATATGAGTTTTATTTGAATATATAAATCTCATGTAAGACACAATTGGTTATACGACATCTGAACGCCTTTTGTGTAACGATCGACGCATTTAATTTTCTCAATCTACCATGGATAGTCCCTGTGTACACATGGTGGGAACAAATCGTACATTTTAAACACGTGTAGCTTACCATTTTCACAAACTGTTCCATTGTAGCCAGGGATGCATTCACATTCAAATCTATACACCAAGTCATGACATGTGCCGCCATGCTGACAAGGAGAACTCACACACTCATAAACATCTGGTGACAGATACAGTAAAATAATGTTGGAATCTGGTGAAATACGCAGCTGCCTATGCATTTAGTTACCCCAATTAAAACTTATAAATATTTAAGAAGCATGTTGACAACTCACTGTATATGTGTAAACATTAAAATTGCAATGTGCCATACATTTACCTAGATATTATATATATGCTGTAATGTGAGTGAACAATTTTATTAGCATTGTTTTTCCTGCTGCAATGTGAATTCGCCATAAGAGGATATGCCAGCAATTTAGGAAAGCTAACTGTGTATTGGAAATCTAACCCGTCAGACATTTCACTGCCTTAATACTTGCTGCAAACATATGGGTTTTGTACTAGCACATACATGATGTAATTCCAGGGATTGTTATCATGTTCTTCAATACTTACCAGTCTCACAGTGATCACCTGTATATCCTAACACACATGTACAGGTGTATCCACTGATATGATCGTGACACGTGGCGCCATGCATACAAGGTATACTTGCACATTCATCAACATCTAATAAAAAAACAAAAACAATTACCAGTCAATGAACACTTTATTTATACTCATAGTGTAAACCAATTGAAATTTAGTTGTGGCATTTTTTTTATTGAACAGTTTATTGAGCCAGAAAACATTCCCCGAATCTTCTCCATCAGAACTACTGATATTACAGTGAAATTGACACGATCTGACACCTACCTCACTGTCCACACACGATTGCAAGTCAGAAAAAACTTGGTAACTACTTGCAGACATAGACCATGCATTATTTATGCAACTCTTGAAGTAAAAGCGAGTTAAATTTGGGCTACTAATATTTAAATATATTTATTTTTATTTTTGTTAAGAACTATAAAACAATGTGAATCTTAAAACTGCTTACCCCACTAACGTGACAATCAGAACCAATACTATTACAATAATGCAATAATATTATAAAGCGACAAGATATTGTTGACAATGCTGACAATCATACTCGCATTACCTACAGTTTACTTCTCAAACAAGTACAATTTCAGCACTAGATTAAGTAGCATTTTGAGTTAGTACTTCACACACTGACCACTCGTTCATATAAACTATATGTGACATTCGCGTTCTGGTGTATCGACCTCACCAACAATAGTGTATTGTTACAAGGCCAAATTTCTTGTATCTGTTACACATACATCACATGACGCCATACACACAATGCACTTTCACCATATCTACCTGTTTCACAGTTGTCACCCGTATAACCAGGCTGGCAGGTACATATATATTCATTGACGTCATCAGTACATGTGGCGTTATTCACACATGGTGAACTAGAACATTCGTCTATATCTGTTAAATACAACTTTTAAAGATTTACGTAATCCCAATATTGTTGAGCTCAGTTAGATAAATCATTTCAAAAGTCATTTTATTAGGTTGATATCAGTGCATTGAAAACAAAAATACTTAAAATTTATATTGTGACAATGTAATACCATAACCGAAAAATTAAATCATCAATACATCAACATCAATATCAACAGAAGGGTTCAGACGTACAAAAACCGGACAAGACCGAAAACGAAAGGGTTGGTCACAGGACTGGAAACTATTTAACTGAATTGATATTTCTTTGAATATCAAACTGAAAGTGAAGGGTATATAGATGAACTGAAAGTAACATGCATAGATACGAGTTTGAAAGCTGAACA